GCTGCCCCTGCTTCAGAGCCAGGACTCCATGTCTGTATCCTGAGGGCTCATACAGGCACTCACCTGCTTAGCTGCAACCTCCAGGCACTTATCCCATTGCTCCTGCTCTGCATACATATCCAAAGCGGCCATGACATCTATTCCCACCAGCTGGGGATGGAAACAACCATAAATTCACTGTGCAGGCAAGGTTTCCTACCAGCATCAAGGCAGGCATCAGCCCACCCGGGTCTTTTCTTCACACACACACAGTCCCTCCCCTTCTATGGCATGGGAGTACAGATTCAGTGTGACCCATCTGGTATGCAGAAACCATGACTCATGGGTACATACAGACTCCTCACCTGTGGGCATATTCAGGCAAAAGCCCCATGAGAAAGGCCCCAAGGATCTGCACAGATCCTGACATCACTCCCTGGCCTGTGAGACATCCCAAATACGTACCGAATCTACCTTTCCTTGGTTCTTTAAATACTCCTTGTAACGCTGGTCCACATACTCCTCCGACCTACAGGGTAGAAAGAATCTTAATAGGCAGAAAGACTAATAGTTTCTTGCATCAATGCAGAGGCCGGATTCAACTTTGCCTACTTTGGGAAAAAGAGAACTTACAGCTATGCCATGTCTTTCTCGCCTGCTGCTGGGAGCATAGGTAGAAGGGGAAAGAAAGGGCCTAGACAGTTCTTTGCAATATAAGGTGTGAGGAGAGAAAGGAATCATAGAACTTTCAGAAGAAAATGCATGCACAAGGTTGTGCCAAGGGAAAAGGAAATAGGATAGGGATGGGACAAAAGGGGATAACGATTTCCACGGGATATGTGGCAATAAGAAAAGTGTCAGGATGGTAAATGGCTTGTGAAGAGCAGCTCTGGAGAATGTGCCCTGTCGAGCATAGGAAGGCCACTATGGGGAGAATCCAGGGAACCTGAGGGCAGCAGGACAGGACAGGACAAGGGATCATCTAGAGGTGGGAGAGGGGGCAAGAAAGAGTATAATTTGAGAAGTTCCAGGCATACCTAGGGTCCAAATCCTTGGCCACGCGCTTGGCTTTGCTCCATTCCTCCCCTTCAATGAAGGCATCAATAGCTTCTTGGATGAGGTCCAAGTTGAGGTAGAGTTCAGCTGCCTGCAGGCCAGAGACAGTCCCATGGGAGATGAAACCCTAACGGCACCCTATAGCCCAGGCTGGAGCTGGTGCTGTTGGAAGGGACCAGCTCACAGAAACAACAGAAAGTCTCTTCCCAAAGGATAACCCCCCTTCTCTGCTTCCTGCCTCCTCCCAAAGCCTGTCTCTCTCACACTATTCCAGGACTTGATCCCTTCCCCTCCTTCCTCCTCCTTGAAGACTCTGTGCTGCCTAACTCTGGATAGGGCCATCCACCCATCAACCCAGGATGTGACTTGGCCTCCTTCCCTTGGACAGAGCTCTCCCTCCCTATGTCACTGCCTCTTCAGTAGCCTGGGCACAGGAGCTAGCCCTCACCGCACTGTATTTCTTCATGGCCACCAGCTGAGGAGCCACAGTCCGCGTCACCTCCATGCTCTGTGACTGACCCAAGAATTTAATGGCCAACTCAGCAGCCTGTGAAGAGAAATTGTCAGCAGCATAAGTGATAAAAGCTGTTTGAGAGGGATGAAGCTGGGAAGAGCTCAGTCCCAGCTAAAAGACTGAGAGTCAGGAACACTGGAACTATAGGGGAAGCGGAGAAGAAATGAAAACCCACTTCAGCAATTCAGAGAAGCAAAGCCCAGCTACTTTCACACAAGGGAGAAGATCAGACAAGGACATGATTGTTGTTGAAGCTGGTACAAGGGCACAGGTATGAGTGAAAAGTATGAAGAGGAACATAAGCCAAAGTTTGGCGGACATAGACCATGAGAAGAAGAAAGGACATTTATCTAGCCAAGGGCTAAGTCATAAAGTCCAGCTCATCAGTGCAGGGAGATATGAGCACAAAGATGCCGGCATGCTGCTGGAAGTTGTGCCAGAGCAAGGATGTCAGTGCAGTGCAGGGTAAGCCCACAGTCCATCATGGCTCAACAGAATGGCCATGAAGGCTTTCAGACCCTGCAGTCACTGGGTCCTCTCTTGTGCCCTGCAATGACTGAGATATCTCTGGGATGCCCTGCAGGTAGTGGGAGACCTGCTACACAGCAGAGAATATGAAGGGAATCATAGCTCCCGACTGTACCTTCAGCAAGCACTTCTCCGTCAGGACACTGTTGCTGGGATCCTGCACCTTCAGATAGCAGTCCACTGCCCTGGTATATTCCCCAGCCTGCTCCCACTCCTGTGCCTGCTCCAGCAGCCCTTCTGTTCCTCTGTAGGGAGGAAAGCAGGCTGCGAGTAATACTGGCATGCTGCCACAGAGATGCTATAGACAGTGTGGCGTGGGCAGGGAGGTGCACAGCAGAGGTAAGCCAGGGACCTCAGAGACGGGCTGAGTGTGTGACAAGGAATGCACGTAGCCAGTGCTGAGGAGAGAATTGATGAAGGACCCTGGAGACGTGCATGGGCGGTACAGGAGACCCTGGAGATCTGTAAGTGGCAAGAAGACATCTGGGAGACCATGGATGGCAGGAATAAGCCTGGAGTCTCCCAGAGCAGGGAGGAAAGACGTTAGGAAACCTATGCAGTAAGAACTCCAAGGTCCTCAAGCAGGAAACAACAGGATGTCAGGGATTCTGTCAGGTTATCTCTAAGGCATCAGCACAATGGCCTAGGGGAAGAGCTACCTGTCTGTTCCCTGCAGCCTGACCACAGCATTCCTTACCTGGAGCCCTTCTTGGCAGCCTCCCTGCTGCACTCCTCCTGTAACTCTTCTAGCCGACTGGGCATGTATTCCTTGCAGATCCGCAGGGCCTCGCTCCACATGCCAGCCTCCTGCACAAGCACAACGGGGATGAGAAATTTTCACCATTTCACCAGGATCCCCCACACTCTTGGCATCACATAACACGTCTAGTCTCTCATGTCATCTTGCCAGAGGACCCACTGGAAGAAACAACCACAGCAGCACCATCCAATTCTTTCCTTCCCCAAAATGGCGCCTATGTTTACCCACTGACCCAAGCTACCTCAGGGGAACGTGCTCATCCATCCTAGCTACCTCTGTGGAATGGGCACTTAGTTTTCAAATGTACCCACTCGTGCTACCCCTGAGGACCATCTGTATTCTGCAGGACACTTCTCACAGAGCTGTGAGAGAGCTAAGCTATGCTGTGAAATCTCTACCAGTTCAGTCTTCTAAGGATAGGCCAGAATCAACTTCTGTTAGGAACCACCTGAGTAAATGGTTTCTCTTTGGTTACTAAACTGACAGGGAGAGCTGCGAGATGGATTTCACTCCTCCTCCATCAAGCCTGGGTTCTTGTCCAGCGAGGAAGGCAATGATGTTGCTACAGACTATGCTCACCTTGTAGTACTTTATGGCCAGCTCAGGTCTCTGTGCTCGCAGGAGGAAGGCCTCTGCTTTCTGGAACTCTCTCTGCTCAAAGGCAAAACGTGCCTGTCCCACAAGCACATCAGCCACGCTGTCTGGGTCATGAGCCTCGGCCACACGCTGTGCAGCATCCCAGTTCTGGTTATGCACAAACCTAGGGGAATCAACATGAGATGTAACAAAAGGGACAGCAAGGAGCAGACCAACACTGGAGAAGCAACCAGGCTGGCATCATATGGGCAGAGGAGATGCAGCAGGCCAGAGTGGGGAAGGATACCTACATCAGCACTGCCTCCTTGGGTTTCCCAGCTTTAATAAATTCTGCTTCAGCCTCTTCAAATTTGCCCTAGGAGAGAGGAAGGAATTTGCTTGCATGCCTTCCTGCCCTGATAACATCACATGACCTCCTCTATTACCACGAGGCAGAGAGGATTTATGAAACAAAGATGTGTGTGGAAACTTGGGACTGTAATTGTGGAACCTTTTGGGTAAGCAGTGACTGCAGCCGCAAAAAGTGCCTGCTGCAGCGGCTCTTAAGGACAACTGTTCAATTACCTGAGTGACCAGAGCACTCCCACCTATTCCAGGGGGTAGAATTACCTCATCTTCTAGGAACATGGCATACTTTAAGTGGATCTCTGGCATCTTCTGCTTCATGGAGAGGCGGGCCAGTTCAAAAGCAAATTCAAAGACCCTTCAACGAAAGAGAAAATGGGGTGAGAGCAGGACTCTGTGTTGTGAAGACATGCCTTCATCAAGAGCAAGACATCAAGCAGAGCACAAGACACTGGGAGAGGAGAGAGGGGCATACAGAGGGTCCCAAGTGAATGGGCACTGCCCATTCCTCTTGTTCCTGACCAGAGGACAGCAGCTTTGAGAGCCCCCACTAAGGAAACTCAGCTCCTTCACACTTGTTAGTGCCATGGCCCCTTGGTTCAACCCTAAGGGGAGGTCCCAAGACTCCCCTGAGCCTAGCCATGGGGGAGAGCAGCAGTGAATGGCAGTGCAGTCAGATGGCTGGACAGGTGCAGAGTGGGGCCAAAAGTCTTCTGGCATGCAGTTACTTATGGTGACATGAGGAATACCTCCTCCTGTGTCCAGAGGCTCTCACAAGGCACCCCTGCTGAGGCTAAAGGGCAAACTGCTTTTGCCTGCCCAGTTCTGACTTTACATTTAAGAGACTAACAGGTGGACAGGAAGCAGGGTGCGTCAAGGAGGTGGAATTCCTGTGTGAAGACGTACAGGTGGGGTGGGAAGACATGTCATATCGTGGACCTGCAGCTATCACGTGCATACAGTTATCTTGGGCACCCCTTTTTTCTCAGGTCAGGCAGATGGGAGAGAAGTGCTGGGCTGATGGACCTGCTTACCCGCTGTCTGCTGCATGGTCAATGGCCATCTCCAGAAGTCCGAATTTACTGAGGAGTTTCACAGCTGCCTCTCCACCCAGGCTCTTTGCCCACAGATAGGCCACGTGCTTATAGGAGTTTGTTCCCCCATGTGCCTTGGCCACCTATCCAAAGCAAAGAAAGCAGAAGAGCCCAATGCATCCATTTCATCTGCAGTAGGCTGAGCCAGGACTCCCCTCTCGCATGATGCTTGTCATTATGAGGGAGCACCAAGAACAACTGTTGTCTCCTGAGCAACCCTTCTGTAGCTACCACTGGACCAGGGAGAGTGAGACAAAGACTTATGTGGCAGAGCAGAAAAGAGGCTGCTGCCTCCTCAGCACGGCCCACACTACTGTTAGGTCAGCAGTTAACTACTGCTATTGTCACCCTGGCAATCTGTGTCCAGACAGGAGGGGTGCAGTGCTGGGGTCAGGTTGCTACAGACTGGCTATAGGCAGAGCAATACCTCTGAGGCACAACATGGTGCAGCGGTTAGGAGCAGAGCAGTGCCTGGAGCAAGGCAGTGCTGCAGAGAGGCTAGGGGTCAAGCCCTGCTTTTGGGGTGCAATGCTGCAGAGCAGCAGGCACAAACACCTCCAGTACTGTGCCACATACTGAAGCTAGGTAATGTATGACAAGTCTTCAGATTTTGTGGTGAACAGAGCAGTTTGTACCAGGATCCAGCTGTCAAAGCCTGATCCCCGCACAGTGGGATAGCTGTGAAGTGATTATTACCCTGTAAGCTTCTTCCCACATGTCATTCACTCTGTACATGTTTACTGTGGCCTTCCAGTCCTTAGCTTCTAGGTAGTGGTACTCAGCCTCCTGTAAGCGTCCCTCTGCCTCCAGCTCCTGCAATTAGAGGCAATGAGTTAGTGATACTTTTGTCCCTGCTTGGTCTAGTTGATCCCCTGCCATGAGATGCACTCACATTGCCGAGGTGCAGGTGGGTATCACTGAGTAAGTCCTTGTGGTACTTGGCCACTAGGCAAACCATCTCATCATACATCTTATACTTCTTGTACATGGTGATGGCCAAATCCGGTTCTTTCACAGTGATATACAGCCTGGGAACACAAGCACATTCGAATGGCTCAGCCAAGGACATGACCAGTCCCTCTAGTCTCTCTGCATCCTGCCCAGCTGGAGTCAGGTCCTACGCACACTGCCAAAAGGCAAGACTGGTGTGCAGCATGACTTTTGTGGGCTGCAAGGCTGAACACTGCTTAGACAGAGCCCTTCTGCTATGCCACCATCAGCTGCAGAGAGCAAAGTTATTCTTTCCATCCTCACATGTCAACCTGAGTTGTGACTTAGAGGGAGCCTCTGGGCTTCCGTGACCTGTTCTCATCTTGGCCTCCAACCTGAGGCTGTCAGTCCTGTTGGGATGGTAGCATGACAATGTCAGCTCCACTTACTCATATAGGCCAGCAGAAAGATTAAATCCAATGTGACCTCACCAGCTGTAATGCCCCCTTTCACAGACTGGGCATCCTTGAGATCAGGTACCATGGCATCAGATACACAGCTGTGTTCATCCCTGTAACTACTAACCTTATTGTGTTGTTATTATTCTAGAAGTGATAACATTAGTAACGTGGATGGGAAACACTCCACTTTCCATAGCTCATCCTCAGCTGACCGTGACAGATCAGATGTAGCACTCTGCAGTGGTGAAAAGCCTTGCCATATTTTCTCTGCTACATGAGACAGCTGCACCCCACTTGGACCTCTTCCTATGAACTCTGAAATATCAGCTCTAGGTCTCCATGTGTGGAGAGAGCACCTCTAACCTTTCCAAACCCTAGTCTCAAACTCTACTCCCACCCCAGGAAAGGGATCCTCCTCACTACAGCCATTTATTCAGGGCTCTCTTGGACTAGTACCAAGGAAGATGCTCACCTCTCTGCTTCTTTGTACTTGCCCTGCTTCTCCATCTCTTGGGCCTGGGTTATATAGTGCACAGACACATCTTTCTGACTCATACACTTGACTGCCAGCTGCCAAAAGGAACACACATGGAGAAACTACAGCACACTGCACAGCAATTTCTTGATACATGGTAGTGAAACAGAAGGGGGAAACCAATCTTTTTCCCATTACAAACAGGTGTGTATGCTATATGCTTTGCAGAGAACGGGTAGTCATTTGTCACTGTGATCAAAGCACACAGGACCAGCCCCCCTGAGAGTGCTATTTGTGTTACAGGCACACCCACACAGGGCTGGGCACAGACAGGACGTGAAAATCAGGGACTGGCGACTGGATGCCCCTACATGCGTCCTTTGGGAAGAGTGGTTGTTGATCACGTGTCGGTGCACAAAGCACCACCACCTCCTGATGAAAGACACTTCACCAAGTGGGGTGAGGTCCCCAGGACCTTTGGCTTCTGACTCTACCTTGTGAGCCTGTTCCCAGAGCCCGGCCTGTGTGTACATGTCAATGGCATCCTTGATCTGGTCTCCTTTGATGTACAGCTCCTCTGCAACCTGTATGGAAATGACCATACTCAGCAGTTCCAAGGGACACACACAGCAGCAGCAATGATTGTGGTCTGTGGCCTCACCTGATACTCCTGTAGAGCTGCATAGTGCTGGGCAATCTTGAGGTAATATTTGGCTGCTGTCTGTTTGTCCTGCAAGTCCAAAATGTAGATGGCCTTCTTCCATTGCCGGGCTCCCAAGGCTGCCTCAATGGCCTTAATCGAGCACCTAGCATCAAAACCATAACTCTTTACAGCCAGCCAGCAGCCATCTCCCCCAGCTGAGTTAAGCCAGGGAGACCAAAGTGGTCTGCTTTTGACTCTTCTTTCTGGGTTAGAGCAGCAAAAAGGATCTGAATAACTGGCAAAGCTAAGGGGAAAGAAAGAAGGAAGAACTAGGACAGCAGGAAAGAATAATCAGGGATGAAAGACTTTGGGAGAGATGTGGGAAGGCATCCATGGTCAGGGCCAGTAGAGACTGCACATAAGCACCAGGGGCACTGGCAAAGTGGGGTCAAGGGGGCTTACCCAGGCAAAACCCCCAGCTGATTTAAGCAAACTATATCAACTTCATCACTTGACAGGTTATACTGCTGCTGGTTATACAGCCATCACCTTCCCCCACCTGGCTTCAATATAATGGTTAATGGCAGCATCCAGCTGTTTCTGCTGCACCAGATGGTCTCCCCAGGCCTCCTCCAGCTTCACAACTTCTGCAGGAAACGCCAGGCGAGCCAGCTCCACTGCTGTAAGGGGACATGATAGCTGTTACACTGAATCCAGGAAGGAAGCAGAACTGTGAGGCAAACAGGAGCCTTGGGAGGGGAATGGTGACTGTCTAATCCACTCCAGCTCCAATGGGCTACCCAGCAATCTGGACCCTGTGGAGAGCTGGACCAAATCCATGCTGGTGAAATCAGCATGACCAAGGCCTTGGGAAAAGGATGCTGTTCTGGGACTGCGTGTGCAGGTCCAAATATGTGAAAATACATACATTGAATGAGATGATACATGGAAGTGTCAGAGCATCTAGGCACCTCCAGGCCCCAGGGCAATAGCTCATACTGCCACCAGGCCAGAGTACCCAGGCTCCTGCTGGGGATGGATGGGGGGAGGAACATATTTAGCACAGTACCTTTCAGGAAGGCACTGCCCTTGCAATAGCACTCCAGAGCCTTCCGTGGGTTCCCAACCTTCTCGAACAGGTCTCCAGCCTAATGACAAATACAAGCTGCCAGTTTCCAGAGCCACTATCTCCCCACACGATCATGTACCCTATCAGTCCCATGTACAGAGCTTGTCAGTCCTGACACACAGACTTCTCCATCAGCTATGCCTTCGCCACGAACCAAGAGCATGGGGATAAAGGGAACTTCTACGGAAGACTGCATCTGCTGAGACCATTCTCCTCTCTGCCAATCGACATAGCCCAAGTGTTCTTCTGGGGTATCATCTTCTAACAAGGTAAGAGTTTTTGAGACAACTTCCCTTTTCTGCATAGTGCCTGGTGCAGCAACAGCCTTTTCTATGACCATGGCCCCTAGGAGTTCTGCTATGCAGATGATCATTATGAGAGCTGTGGGCATGAGTAGTGAAGGATGAAGCTCAGCCTCTTGGGTTTTACCCTGTAGGAAAGAGGGGGGGACAACAGGGTGGGATGTCACTCAAAGCCTGTAGAACTTAGGACATAATATAAGAAAGGCCATCCTGACAGCCCAAAGATTCATCCTCTCCAGTATATGAATGGTGGCGAAAGCACATGTCTAGAGAAAGACTGTAAGAACAGAGCAAGTATACACCAGCCTTTCCTCCTTTCTATCTATCTGACAGTCTGCATCGCAGAAGATTCCTGAGTTTGTGTAATCATGTCCTCACATCATCATATTTAATGGTTTTTGACAGACACTGCCTCCATGATTTGTCTAATCACTTTTGGACCCATTATACTTTTGGTAACAAAACATCTGGCAGCAATGACTCTTTCAACTGAAGGCTTAAGAGAAGGTGACAGATTTGGAAAAGCACAAAATTCTCTTGGGTCAAAATTAAATAGCCAGAAAATGCTGAAGGTAAAGCGAGACCAGAGAAATGTAATTTAAGCAGATAAAACAGATCACCAAAAAGCACTGTTTTTTTTTTTTCACACAACACATAACTGAACTGGGTAACTCATAGCCAACATTGTAGATCAAAAAGTACAGATGGTTCAAACAATAATTTGACAAGCTCAGGCAAGTAAAACCAATCAAGAGCTCTTCAACATAAAACTGTACAGGTATGCTATAGTCTGAAAACTGCTGGAAACCATGAAAGTACACTAGGGGAAGTACCACCCTATATTTGCATGCTCTGTTCTTTATATTCCTTTCTTAAACATCTGCAAGAGGCCACTGTTGGCCAGGATACCAAGTTGTACACTGGTGAGACTCAGCATTGCCTTCTTACATTAACATAATTATATGTGAAAACACCCCTTTGTTTTAAAACTGCCACCTAACAATAAGTAGTTACCAATTTTTTGTGTTATTAGACACAGAATAATCACTTTCCTTCCCTATGATATTCAGGGTTCTACAGATTGTCTCTATAACCTTCTTCGTTTTTTCCCTTTAGGCTATCCTTATGCGAAAGCTGTACCATCTTTTTTTATTCTACTAAGAGGAAGCACTGTACATTTTCACAGTGCTGTTGCATTTTCTGTTTGATCCACAACTCCTTTCCTGTTGGTTCCTATCTTCCCAAGGGCCTCCTTGACTATCACTGAACACTCAGCTGATGTTTCAGAGACATGTCGTCAATGACTTGTGATCTTTTTCCTGACTAATAACAGTAATTCTAGACCTCACCCGTGTATAATGGATGCAGTTAGGATTTCCTCCCAAATGTTAACTACAAATTTATCAACACAGAATTATATCTGCTACCTTCCAGCTCAGTCCCCCTGTATCTCACAGACACAGACTACAGATTAAGAGCTTTGATGTGACTAAGAAGCAAGCCCAACGGGGTGGGCCACTCACCTGTTCATACAGTTCCCCTCTGATTAGTGCTGTTGAAACCCTGTTGATGACATCCCCATTGGTCAGGAGTTCATCCCTGCTCATGGCCAGCCGTGCTGCTTTGGCTGGCAGCCCTGTCCGCAGATATAAGCTGATGGCTGCCAGGTAGTCACCCTGTCCCTCTTGGACCTCTCCAGCCTTCTCTTCCTGCTGGGTATCTAGCAGCCACTGGTAGTAACCCCGGCGCAACTTATCCAGCATTGGGTGTCCCTGTTGAGAAATGCAACATTGGTTGACCTGGGCAAGGCAAGATGTTGTCCTGCTCATCCTGCAAGCTCTGAACAGCTAGTTCATGGCACCAGACCCCTTGGTGCCCAGTTAACAGAAACTACAGTGCCAGCCCTGTGTACTACTGCATCACCCATTCTTTTTCGAAGCCCTAGATACTCCTAAACCAATTGCAGCAGCTTTTCTCCCTCATTATTCACCCAGGTCTGTACTTACATCAGTGCAACCTTCCCTTCTGCTTGGAGCCCCTCCAAGGGGGGCTGATAGGGCAGGTGAAGAGAACCCAAACCTTGAATGGACTCCCAACCAGAAGACTTATCAAGAAAGCCCAGCTCATAGTCCAGTGCAGCTATATTCTGTACCTTGGCCTCGGCAACCACAATACATTCATCCCACATGTGCAGCTCCTGGTACATGTCCATGGCCTCCTCTGTGGCGTTCTGTGTCAGAGAGCAAAGTGTCAACCTGAAGGCTCCATTTAGCATACACGTTGCCATTGAGGTCTCATAGTGGGCAGGCTTAGAAGTGCAGAAAACACTGGAAAAGGTGTACTGTCCCCTTTACACGGATATACCTCCTCCCTTACCCTCTTCACACACCTCAGGGCAATCCTATAACTTGGAACAAGAAATATCTTCTATTTCGGGGCAAAAACTCTTCTCCCAGGAATAAGCAATCACTTCCTTTTCTCTTTCACACCGGGGCACAAACCTCCCTGCTCAGAAACAAAGGAGACCTTTTCTGCTCCTGGTTTGTTTACTCACTTGTTCCAGGAAGATCATCTCTGCCAGCTTGTAGTTCTTGTCTAGCATGGCCAAGCGGGCACGCACCAGATAATGGTCTGTACCATCCCCGCCCTGCAGACAACATTAGTTAGCTCAATCAGTTTGCTGAGTGCAAGAAAAGGCTCTGCAATGATACAAGGGAGGTGATTGCAGGTGGGGTCTGTGTCATTACAGAAACTAAAGAAGACAGACGAGAATCACAAAAGTGACAAGACAGGAGCAATATGGAACAGCTAGGCAGAAGAGGGACCTGGCGGCCGTGGATGAAGGATTACATCAGCAGTTTCTGCATGACCAGGTACTGGTCTGTAGCAGGGTACTGGTGAGCATGGACACAGAAGATAATGTGTATGCAAGTGTTTACAGGAAAGCAGCTGCACTGCACAGCAGAAAAAGTTTGACTTACGTGCTCTTGAGCTGCCTTGTCAGCAATGGTATTGGTTTCATGCAGAAATCGAGCCTTTGCCATGTTGCCCAGAGCTGCAAAGCACCTGGAAAGAGCAAAGCAGTTAGTCAATAACTGGGTTTTGTTGCCCACTTTTGGTCCAAGAAAAGAAAATCAGAACCTGGGCAGCAGACCCAGCTCTGCAAGCTGGAGAGGTGGGGTAGCTCTGCTTCAAAAGAAGGATTTTGCCACGGCCTATGTTCAGATGTGCCCTCTAGCCCTGCTCCATGGGAGAAACCATGGACATGACCAGTGCTTCTGGTTCACTTCCCCAGACTTCAGAGAAGTGCTGAGCTTGTCCATGTCTGTCAGCTCCCTGAAGCCTTGCTATACACTGCTTTGGGTTGCCATCAGCAAAAATTAATGCTACAGAGCGATACCTTTCTGTCCCCAGTTCTTGCATTACTGTCTCGGGTGAAAGGGCAAAGTTATTGCCTGGAAGAGAGAACACTTAATTCTCCAATGCAGTGAATCTTCCAGGTCCCATAAAAAGTCACGTCTTTAGTTAGACCCTGGTTTCTGTGAGGGATTCAGCAAAGAGAGTATTTAAGCCAGAAAGATATTATAGCTTCTTCCTTTACCTCTCTGCAATGTGCAGCTGTCTAGCTTCCAAAGCCAGTCTGCTTAGAGTCTTCCACATGGCTTCAGTCTCTGTGGACATTTCCAGTGTCTCCAAAAATGCAGCAGCCCTTGAGACAGAGAGATTGGCAGACTTTCTTTCAGTAACAGAAGAGCTCTCTGAGGAAAATCCTAGGCTGAGACAGGAGCTTCCTAACAAGAGCTGCACTGAAAACAAAGCAAGCTGGCTGTGACCAGTTCTGAAGAAGACTGTATAACACAGCACCTGACATACCAGGTTAAAATCAGAGATCTAGGCGATCCCTATCTGTGTTAAGGTACTCAGAGGCATATGACCAGCAGAAGGTCATAGCAGTGTGGGGCAAGTGCAAAGTGTTGTGTCTGAAGCAAGCCCCTGGTGCAAAGAAGTCTCTTAAGTGGAAACAGTGCTAGGAACATGTGAAATTCTCTTCCCTGCTGAATTTTAAAGCCCTATAACAAAGTCAGCAGTGCCCAGGAGGCTACCATGACTGCTCCAGGCCGTGTTTTCACTCCGCACAGCTCCCGAAAGTTTCCATGACACTGTCACCATCACTGGAGGGGCAGCAGCAAAAGCACCTGAGCACCACTTCACATTTGGCTGCTACGAAAGAGACACTTATTCACTGCAGTTAAGTGAAAACTGCCTGCAGTGAATTTCTGTCAACGGGACCAGACTGGCAGTCTCTTGTGCTGCTGAGTTTGAAACCACAGAGCTGTGAGCATGAAAAAGCTGAATATTCACTCCTGAAGGACTCTGCTGCACATTATAGCCAGACCTGGCACCAACTTCATGCTCAGAGCCTTAATTTCAACTCTGTATGGAAAGTGGCGCTGCTGTAGTTCATGGATTGCACACTCTCAGATGTCTGTAATGTGAAGTGGGCTACCTGCCATCACCATGTGGGGTATCTAGCACTTACCTGTGATAATCTCCATCATCAACGGCAGTTCCAAACTCTATGAGGCCTTCGTCCAGGGTGTAGGACACAGTGTTCACCCCTTCAGATACTATCACTTCAGTCTTTCCATCATTCCGTTCCAAGTCTACAATATCCCCCTGGAAAAAGTACCAGCTATCAACACTCCCATGTTGTCCTAAGGTATGTGGGGTAGCAGAGATGTGAGGACAGCACTGTGACAGCTCTGCTGATTAAAGTTCTGCTGAATGAGCTCACACTGAGCAGACATCGTCCTTATATCACCAGATGGATGGAAAAAGCCACTGAGCAGCTCCTTGCTATATTAACTATCTCCCTCTTCTGCCAGAAATGCCTGCCACAAAGTTGACACATCAGCTCATATTTTGTCCAGAACAAACTAGCAGTTCCCTTCCATCTCCCTTCTGCAATACCACCCTGACTATTCCCACACACGCAAGAAAGAAGTAACAGAAACCGCTGGAGGCAGTCAAAGCCTCCAAAGTTTTACCTTCAGAGGAAACATGGTGACTCGCTCTGGAGCATCGATGTTATACCAAATGCAGAGGCTGCTTCTGTTCTGAGCCACCACCACATCACTGCCCGGGACCCACTGCACATAGGAGCAATAGTTCAAAATGGTAGTCTTGGTGCTGCTTTCAATGTCATAGAGCTGCAGCTAGAGGGGGGAAGAGTTAAAAAAGGCTCAGCTGGGCTCATGGCTGGGCTACGAGCTCACATGGACATGACACGAACGCCTGAGAAAGCATCTTGTAAACAGATATTACCAACTAGGAATGAGACTTATTCCAAGATATGCAGCCCAAACTCCCACACTGTCGTTTACACACTTTACTATCCAAGACTTAAGACCTTTTTAACCCTTGCAGTACTTTAAGCAGCATGCTCAGATCCTGCCTTACTTATTGCTAGTCACGTATGTATATAAACCAGAATACACCTTGTGCTACTTCAGTTCCCTCTCAGCTGCAAAGGTGGAACAGGAGAATGGCCTCTTAAGTCCTTCATGCAAAGAAACTGAGGGACCAAGAAGGGCCTTTGCAGTTCTGGGCTGAACTGTTCATCCTAGGTGGAGTTCTACTGGAAGAACTGTTGCAAATAAGGTGAGAGGATGTTTGTTTTTAGAATACATTGCCCTAGAACAAACCTCACAATATGGAAGGTGTAACCTGACACAGGGCATAACAAAGATGTATGATGCCTTGTAACTCAAGAGTCCTACGGTATATCTGCTCCTTGTCATAACTGTACTCATCTAGCAAAGATGAGAAAAAGAAGAGAGAATTGTGCTAGTCTCATGACATACCAGTCAAAAGAGAACAAGAAAGTCCCTGTTTCAGTCTGTGTTTGGGTCGATGTAGTTTGAGAGTTAGCATGACTAGGCCGCTTAAGCAAAACAGTTAGCATAACTGGACAGGCCGCTGGAAAGGACAGCTAAGAATAACAACTGAGAAAGTTCTGATAGTGTACATGATGTGGGTTAGCAAAAACAAGATGTGTTCAAGGACGTGGAGGTGGCCTGTTGCTATTGGCGTTAGTGCATAGTTACCAATCATAAGGGAATATGGGGTGCGTAAACAGCGCGTGATTTATGTCTGTAGCCTATCCGAATAAGCGTGATCGCATGTGCAGATATGAAAAATTTATATAACCATGCAAGCAGACCAATAAATCAAATCAGCTGTGCATTGTATCAATGTGTGAGATTCATTCCTGTCCCTGCATGGATGCTGAAACTTGGCAAGTCTGTATCAAACTAGTTGGAGAAATACGTACAGACATAGCTTAGGAGAATCATGGTACTATCTGATTTAGGCTGGTGGCAGTATTTAATAAAGGAGCTGTCTATGTAGCCTCGAGAGGCCTGAAAAGGAGCCAAAAAAGGCAACAGCAATCTTGATGATACTACTGTCTCTTGTTGAGACAGTAATTAGAGGACCTAAATATGAACTGAACAAGACTGCAGAAATAAATATAAGAAGATATACTGCTGGGAAAGTTCTCTCTTCTCATATGATAGGTCATCTACAGCTTTGTGGAAGTGTACTTACAAATCACTTATAAATAGAAGCCTGTTTCCTCTCGTGAAGGCTGCACTCACTGCTAGTACCTTTCTGAAGAGTATCAACACAGCAGAGCCCAAACAGAAGCCCTTGCTACTGACAGCGATTCAGTCTCCATTGTAGTGAAGGTCTTTCTTGATTGATATGTGAAAGTAGTGTGCTAAAGAGCTACAGACATGGAATGATCCTCCAATAATCAAGAAGGTCTTGATCAGAGGCACTCTAATGCAGATGCACGCATTACATCTTTTGCAAATCCACATTGGGCTTGCTCCTTCTATTTCTCTGGAATAGAATAAGATCATAGAACTAGAACGTAGATTCAGCTGTGTAAACACAGCTGTATTAAGAAACCATACAATCGGTATTTTGCAATTGGGATAGCAATTAATTGTATGGATTGTATCAAACACAATTTACAAAAGAAGATGAGACGACCCTGAAACCAGCAAGGGAGAATTCTATGAAGACGGAAGAATAGAAAGAACTTAATAAATGATGTACTCAAACGAACTGAACGGTTGCTTAGAAACTTATGAAGATTCTAGACTTGATGTAATCGGTTTAATAAATGTATATAAACTGGTCTAGCGAGTTAAGCTTTGCCACTCACTGAGGTGATGGCCCAACTCTGAGTTGTGAATAAAGCAAAACCTAGTGTAACCCACTCGTGTGAGGATAAAATTTTTAACAATACTTCACCCATCCTTGGCCTAAAGAGAGGTACAGTCAACTTGGAAATATTCTACTGCAGACTGACAGCCCCCAACTGGATCTGAACTCTGGAGCAATTAAAACCATCCTGTGATGAGCTGCAGTGCTATAGCTGGGGTCTCCCACAGCATCTGGGACACCTGCACAGAAATTCTGGATGTGAATTACACCATTGTCAAGAAGGTCATGTTCTCAGGACACTCTTGTGGCAAGAGGAGCAAATGAAGTTAAGCAGTTAAGGAGCCTTACATTCATAACAATGAAAAAGGCTTGATAGTGACCTGAGTGGAACTGTAATACAATTGATAAATACATCTTCTTGTCTGCTGCAGTGAGCTTCCTCAGCTGTATCTGCACAATTGAACTAAACATGGCTAGGACATGAGGTGAGTACCTGCACATCATTATCTGTAGTGTGAAACCATTACCTTGATTTTGGGCATAGTTTTGTCCTGGGCTTACTAGTACTCTCCCAGATAACATTCAGTCATGGTCTGGGAATCAGCACAAGCCAAGGGCCATAACAAACAAGGTGTTTGGTTGTGACTATGCAGTTTTAGAGACTTAGAGAGTTCATCTTACAGACATAAGCCAAGCTGTTGCAGAGAACACCTTTTTTTAATTTACATGTTTAAGTGCAACGTTAGGGTCCTCATCCTGAGACTAACCCACTTGTCTCCATCGCACAGCAGAGTCTATTATTTTCATTTTCAGGTGTGATGAGATGGAGCAAGATGACTAGTAACCAACTTCAGAATTAGCTATGACTCAAGACCAAACATGCAATGCTGCCAGCTCACGCAATCTGAACATGGTCTATCTTTCTCAAAGGATTGGTCAAAAAAAAATGAATACTCCAGATGTGTTTCTCGCCTCCCTCCCTCCTTTCAGGCATATCTGTCTTTACCTCTCCCCAGACATGCCACCTTGCCACACTCCCCCAGATGCGTCTGCCTCACCCTCATCTTTTTGTCCCTGAAGAGTAGTTTGTGGCCTGTTTCATTCAGCTCCAGCCAATCAATCTTGCTGTCATGGCTGACAGTGCCAGCATTGTAGCCACCAACAAGGTCCACTTGGGAAGAAAAGAAAGGAAACAGTGTAAGTACCTGATGTGCTCCCAAAGTGCTGAGCATTCAATGCTGTTCCGTGGGGATCAGGTGCCTAGGACCTGATTAGGGCAGGACTCTCTGACAAACACACTGTGACATGAAAAGCAGACTGCAGTGACATTTTATCGAGATGCCTTATCAACAGCAGTAACTTCTTCCACCCTTCTGTGAGCGTGCACTTATCACAGGCAGTGCAGGCAGCAATATCATCACGCTGAACTGCACAGAATCTCAGGTCCAGGACACAGTCACAGCTACCCCATAGCTGTGTCCACACCAGGCAAACTGCCAAAAGCATGACAGCCTGGTCTCTAGTGGTCTGCTGCCAAGCAAAGCAAATGTGAAGAGGGCCTTCAGGAATCTGCTGCTTGGCAGAGTGAATGCAAAGAGGACCTTCAGGGATACGCTGCCTGGTACAGAAAATGCAAAGGAATCAGGAAGGCTGGCAAAATACAGGGGAGGGAGGTTTACGTTCACCTGTTGCTATAGTCTTCATGTCTATCAGATAAGCCAGTCTCTTGTTCTCCTCCACGCCTCTCTGCTGTCTCTCATTGATACGGACACTATTATTTGAAGGAAATGATGACTGTTACCTTTACTACTCTCTGCATTCACAGGACTGAATCACATAGTCCCTCCCAGACTTACCTGCAGTCTCCCCAAGCACATGGAACCTCCTGCAGTTCTCTGACCTGTGACTCTTGCACAGTACCTACGGCTGCCTCAAGTGAGAACAAGCCTTTCTGATTGATGGCTTCACTCCGGAAGCTGCCCCTCTGGAACCAGGGTCCCCAACAGCAAATTAGTTATGCTACTTCCACTTCTGAGCAGCCCGTGATCCTCCCTTCTCTCGAATCAGAAAATGGAGTATGGTATTTCAGAGGGACAGAGGAAGTGCTGCTGGCATCCAGAGTCACTGATAATGCTGTACTAGGACCAGCTGGATACAGAGATGCCTGAGTACACGCACAGCAGGTCCCTCTTCAGCAACAGCCAAGTCAGGCTTCAGTAAGCACGTATCAGACAAAAATGTGCTCTTATGCATCTAAAACTTTATAACCATTAAGTGTAACTTACCAGTTAAACCCCACCCTTGGTTGCTGTCAGAAGCAGATTAGTCAGATCCCAGTCTCTGGGGACTGTGTTCTACAGAGTGGAACACTTCCTAGTGTATATATCTGAGGTCACTCACAAAATGCCTGTAGTGGCCACACAGGCGGGTATAACACTTACCTGACAAGATGGGGGTTCATGAACTCTGTGCGGACGGACCCTAGAATGTCATTGCTTCCATATTCCACCAGTGTCAGCTCCCCAGCATTAAAGATCATGCAGACCTGAAGGTGAGAGTGAAATACTCTTACAGAAAAGCCAGGTAAGCACACATACCTACCAGTGAGGTCTGGGCAAAAGAACTCTGCTACACACAAGTCTAAATTCAAACCCTCTGGGATGGGTAAGGAATTGTCCCTGGCTTCCTGTTGTGACTGCCAGCTTTTCCTCAGGGTTGGGGATTTTAGTTCTGGGCCTATCAGTCCTGCAGGAGCCAAGCTGTCACTCTGACAGCTGTATTCTGTACCTCTAACATCCTCTCTGGCTGTTGCTCTTTTATTGCTCCTCTCTCCTATAGGGTTATGACGTGTATAACTTGACAGTCCACACACTGAGTTTGTTCTGTACCCGGCATGTGGAAAAGGCAAGTATGTTGAGGAAGCAGATCAGGATCTGCATGGAGAGGGTAAGTCCAGGAAACTGCTGAGAAACAGGGTTTTCCAGAAGTGCAGCTGACACTTTTTCTGTCAATGCACACACAGCTTTACTCACCATCCATGGGTAGCAACCTGTCCCATCCAACTTACATTCTCATTGTCGAAGAAGAACTTCTCATTCCCTCCAGATCCTTGCCAGGCTACCTACAAAGCAATGGCATGGAGTGAGCAAATGCCAGGCTCACAGGTCCTGCAGGGGACCAGGTTGCAGGCATTGTGGTCCACTGTCCACTTCTCAACACCCACAACAGACAGCAAGAATTACACTGCAGAAGGGATCATGTTCCAGCACTTCAGCTGTCAACACTGTTGTTCAGTCATTCTCAGTCTGCAGGTTCCTCACTTCCCTCTCCTTTCTTTAACCTCTGCTTCAGACTCCTGTTCTCTTCGTGTATTATCTTATTGCCTTCTGGACAAGAGGCCTTTATGTGACCATTGCACTCCCTCTAGCCTGTTCTTTCACAGGCACTTCTCCACCTTCCTCAGACTAACTTTATTCTATAAAGCACCCCCAACAGCCCTTTCGCCTCTGTAAATCTTCTCCACAGAATCAGTGCCACCGTTTGTAAGGGCGGAATCTCCACACCACTTGTAGCTGAAACCCTTCTTTTTTGGGGTCATGTTAGCAATGATGATCAGCATAGTACCAGTGGGGGACCAACTGATTTGGAATTTGAGAAGAGCACTGGATAATACAATAGTTACTGTGATGACAACAGGCAAGCAGTCAGAGAAGCAGAAAACTGAAAGCCAAGACTGCGGCTGTTATCTTCCCTCCTTGAGCAAGAGCTACAAGTCACTGCTTCAACAAAACTCCAGTAAGACACCAAGATGGTAAATGAACTACTTGCAATCCTGTTCTTTATAAGAAGTGGGTATAGCTGTGCAACCGAAAGAAAAACTCCTCTGTGCAGTATGACATAGAGAAACCTGGGAGATTTAGTCTGGCCAGATTTTCAGTTGGATTACCAAGTATCAGTATCATTCAACTCAAATCTGTAGTCAGGAGCTAGATCGATTAGCACACCATTAGCCTGTTTAAAAGTATATGATATCTGTGTGAACAAAGCAAATACGTCCTGAAGCCTATTTAATACTTCTATCAAACACTAACCTACTGCCTGTGTTCTCCAGGCTTGGCACAGACTCGGCTCTCAGTACACTATGAGGCTTAGAATATGGACAGTTCTGTATGAATTGTTTGGTATGAAAAATGACACTGGCATAAGCTGTGGTACTGTAGTCACAAATAGGTTTTTTGGGGGTTTTTTGTTTGTTTTTTTTTTTAAACATACTAAGATTCATACATTTACATCTGGAATGTACATATGTACAGAATCCAGTTTTGGGCTGCCCAGTACAAGAAAGATACTGATAAACTGGAGCAAGTTCAGCAGAGTGCCATCAAGATGGTTGGGGCTGAAGCACTTGAACTGTGAAGAGAGACTGAAGGAACTGCGCTTCTTCAGCCTGCAGAAAGGAAGGCTTGAGACCTCTAATAGGGTGATGCCAGGCTTTTTTGGCAGATGCACAGTGAAAGGGAGAGAAACGGTCATAAATTAAAACAGCGATTCCAACTAGACTTTGGAAAAAAAGTTTTCCCTCATGAGGATAGTAAAGCATTAGAACAGGGGACCAGAGCAACTGTGGGATCTGAGCAATGACATCTGAATTTAATACTGACCTTTCTTTAGGTAGGAAGTTTGATAAGAGACCTCCCAAGGTCCCTCCCAACCTCATGTGGTCTATGATTCTTTGAAAATAGAGGTATTGTTCTCATACAGAAAACATATTCTTTGAGTTACAAAGTTAAGCATTTGAGACTCAAGAAATGCCACAGATTTTCCAGTACCTCACTGAGCTTGTTGGAGGTGACATCACCCAGCACTAATGATCAATCTCATAACCATACTGAGATTTCAACACAACTCGAGTTCCTGTTGAGAGGTTCTTCACAATGACCTAGAGAAAGTGGGAAAAAGCAATATGACGCCATGCACAGAGGAAGAACACAGACTTCTTGCTCCATGGAAGATTATGCAACAGATGATACTTGGGTATTTAGATGTCCCCTCACATCATTTCACACTGCTTTTTAAAGAGAACTTACAATTCCTTTTGTATGGGAGGACAGCTGTAGTAGAAGTGTGGGATTCTCACTTCTGCCGTTTCGAAGTTTCTAGCCTAACTAGAGGACTACTCAGGCCCCTGAGGATGATCCACTCTCTGAGAGTCCTGCTCTCCCTCCACTGACTACTGGGGGGTAGGGGTGCCTAGACTGCTAGGTCACCCTTACTACCTGATTTTGAACCAGGTAAAGTTGGCTGAATTTAAACCACTTAAGGAGCCCACATTTGGCATGAAGGTACCCCACACAAATTCACAAGCTAGGAAATAAACACCATTGTCTTTGCTCTTAGCCAATCTCCACCCAGCCTTGACCCTGTCCCTGGAATATCCCCTATGCCTTCCCAACAAGTTGCTATGAACAAACCATAGGTGCAGAACTCCAAACCCGCCTAGTTTTAGCAAGCATCTCATTTACATCAAGACACATTACCTCATTGGATATTCTCTTACCTGGCTTGGCCCCACATACGTAATTTCAAATTTATTTTTGTAAATGCTTCTGCGAAGGCAGCAGTCAAATTGTTCAACTCCTCCGCACAGGGTGCCCTGAAGAAACAAACACATTGCACACAGTTAGTGAATTCTGTTAAGGAGAGATATTCAAGACCCAACTTACATGAAGAGGACCAGAGGTGAGACAGAAATCCACAGGTCCTGGCTGCTCTGGGGAACAAGGCTCAAGCCCTCAGATGCATGAGGACCAGCCTATATTGACTTTTTTGAGAGAACAGAAAGAATCAAGAAATTATCAGAGAAACAGAGCTTACCAAATACTGGCACATACATGGCAGAGGAAGAGGAGGGGTTTAAAATCACCTTTGTCTTCATTTTCCCCACCATCCTTCTCAGTTTCCCACTTCTCCCTCTCACAGCCTCCCAGTCTCCTCCCTTCCAGCAAAATCCTTCCACCTTTCTCTCTTTCTTTATCACTTCCCTATTCCTTTCACAGATCTCCTATCCCTTAGCTCCCTCCCCTTCTCTGCAAGTATTTGTTCACATGTTCAATTCTCTGTCTGAAAATATTTCAAGGACTCTTGATTGTTGACCACAAAAAGATTAAAAAAAAATTAAAGAAAAGTTGTAAATAGCAACCTCCCCAAATCATTTAAGTGCTTTAAAGAGTTATTCAACTTAATACAGAAAGATTTCTGGAAAGATTAAAGAGCTTTAAAGAATTATTTAACTTAATAGAGAAAGGCACATCAAGCTCCAACAGCTGAAAGAAGAAAGACAACTCTAAACTGAAAACACAGCACATAAAAACATAGACTGTAAGTAACAGATCAGTTTCTTCTCACGGGTACTCAGAGGAAAGAACACTCATGAGACTTCTCTGAGAAGCTATGCTTCTGTGAAAAAAAGGAGGACTGCTACTGCCTATGAGCCATTACACAGTCATCCATGGTATTTTACAGCTTCATACTCTGCACACTGCAAATTTGACTGCAGCAGTGTCTCTTGCACAAGGTCTCAGCCTAGGCACCTTGCATCACACACCTAGGCGATGGTGTGACCACTGTCATAAGCCCTCCCTGTACCACAGCACTTTGCTCTCCGGAGCATGCGTAAGACTGTCTCTTGTGCGTAACTCATGGGCTCAGGTTGCTGACTGATGATACAAACCACACAGATCCGTGAACCATCCCTCTTCCATGCTAAAGCTGTGATGGTGTAGAGGTGAGCTATTTCTTTGGGTTTGCCTTCCTCCCAGGCACTGCGGCGTGGGCTCCAGTTCAAAACTCTTAACCTGTGAGAACAGATGAGAAAGCAGAGATATGAAGAACTGTGTATGGTTGAAGAAGAAAGCACTATAAAGAGGAGACTTTACCATCAGGCACCATACCTATCATAGCTGCCAATGACAACAGATTGGCCACCAGGACTGGCAGCTGCTGTGGTGAATTCCTTCTCTGATGAGTCCCGGCTATAGTCAAAGGTTTGAATCACGTTGCCCTCCTTCCCATAAGCTACAATCTTCTTATCACAGCCTGCAGCCACAATACTGTTGGAAGCCCAGGCAAGAGCATAAGGAGGACAGGGATGAGTCACCAACTTACCCTGCAACAGACAAAAAAGAACATCCTGAAAGTGTGAATGGCTCTAGCCTCCAACCGGCCTCTGTACTCAGCAAAGAGACCAGTATGAGGCCCTTCCATAAAGTCTAGTTCATGAGGGTTGCTTTGTCTGCCTGTCCCAGTCTGTATGAAGGTAGACAGAAATGAGAGAGATGTATCAACTATTGCATTCATTTAACTGGGAAAGAAGAATCATGATGCCAGTAAGAAGACCAGTACCATTAACTAGACTGGGACGCACTCTTACCATAGCAGAGTATATATGGGCTTTCAGCATATCATGGTAGAGAGACACGCTCAAACTGCTGCAGTTGGACAGAAAAGATCTGAGTGAGAACAGCATTCTCTTCACCACAGCTTGAAGCACAGAGACTACTCCTTTTGGGGAGGAGCAGGAGGCCCAAGAGAAATGCTGGGTGCCTAGAGTATCCTGTCCACTTAGTGACAAGATGACAATAGCTGTTCCCTGGAATTCTACCCATTCGAGCATCATTCTCCTGGACGCTCTAACATCAGATCTTTCCAGACAACTGAAAAGCCTTATGTCTCATATACAGAAACATAACCACTGCACTGTGTATTTCAAAGCATCTAGTCACTGTTCTGTCTTCATCAACGCTCCATAAAACCTATGCTAGCAAGCACAGACTCCTCTTGACTTGCACTCCCTTCATGGCCTGATCCCTTTCCAGAGCTCCTGAGCTCCAGAGTAGGCTATGCAAACAGGAATTTTGCTCATTGAAGAAGGATCTTTGATACCTGTGATTCACCTGAGCCCTCATCATCAAAGAAGAAGCGTACTATGGTTCCATCTGCATGGCCAGACAGGATTCCCTTCCCTGACACACTGCAAAGAAACACAGACAGGATGATGCAATACTGCAGTAAGACTGGCAACTTTATTTTCATAGCTCTGCCCAGAGGAGCCAGTCCCAGGGTCATTGTTGATGTTCCTCATCAAACCAACCTTCACCAAAGACAAGCTGGGTGATGAACACAAGTACCTGTATCGGTGTCTGTAAAAACAAAGCAGACAAAAGTATGGAGAGTGGAAAGGAGAGTAGCCAGTTAAGTATCTTCATCATGTAAAATCACAATAACCATAAAACACAGAGAGGCTAAGTAACCTTAAGTGGAATAATGACTACGCACACAATTTCTTATAGCAAGGTATACCAAACAACCCTTGCATTGGAACTGTTCCAGAAGTGTGGCTGGATATTGTGATGCCAGGAATCCCCAAAAGCAACACAGTTCAGAGAAAAAAACATCTGGACAAACACTCCAGGCCTAAGTCACACATGACACCAAACTGGGAGGAATGGTGGATACACTAGCAGGCTGTGCTGCCATTCAGCGTCACCTGGACAGGCTGGAAAGTTGGGCAGAGAGGAACCTGATGAGGTTCAACAAGGGCAAGGGCAGGGTCCTGCCCCTGGGGAGGAACAACCCCAGGCACCAGTACAGGCCTGGGGCAGACCTGCTGGAGTGCAGCTCTGTGGAGAGGGACCTGGGAGTGCTGGTGGACAACAGGTTGACCATGAGCCAGCAGTGTGCCCTGGGTGCCAAGAAGGCCAATGGGATCCTGGGATGCATTAGGACGAGTGTGGCCAGCAGGTCGAGGGAGGTTCTCCTTCCCCTCTACACTGCCCTAGTGAGGCCCCATCTGGAGTACTGTGTCCAGTTCTGGGCCACCACTGAAAAGAGCTTGGCCCCATCCTCCTGACACCCACCCTTAAGATATATACGTACCAGCCTCAGGCTAATTTGATCCTTCTTTACACCCAGCAAAGGGTGGGTGTCAGGAGGATGGGGCCAAACTCTTTTCAGTGGTGCCCAGCGACAGGACAAGGGGCAACGGGCACAAACTGAAGCACAGGAAGTTCCATCTGAACATGAGGAAGAACTTCAGAGGGAACTGAGGGTGACGGAGCACTGGAACAGGCTGCCCAGAGGGGCTGTGGAATGTCCTTCTTTGGAGACATTCAAGACCCGCCTGGATAAGGTCCTGTGCAGCGCACTGTAGGTGACCCTGCTTTGGCAGGAGGGGTGGACTAGATGACCCACAGAGGCCCCTTCCAACCCTGAACATTCTGTGATTCTGTGAAGTCCATTATTGGTAGCATCAATGTCTTGTGTACTTCTTGACACAAGCAGGGAGAAGACAGCAAGGAAGAATGTAATATACCCAGAAAGAACTCTCTTCAGTGACGATGCAAGTACAGAATACAAATCCTATGAACACTGTAACAATCCAGGAATCATACCTCTGTCTTCTGTTGACTGCAATCCCAGTTTTGTCTTTGATACCATACCCATAACAGCATGAATTGCATTTAGAAATAAGCGGGGGAGAGAGTGGGGGGGAGGACTGGGGGAGTGGGATAGGAGGGCAAATGGGGAAGAGAAGCGGGGGAAAAAAGGGGGGTGGGAAGAGAGAGGAAGAGACAGAGAGGAAACTGAAACCTTCTGGAACAGAGGCAAAGGCAGACAGACTTTGGGGGGATTTCTCAGCAGCAGGAAGTCAGAGTCCTCGACTAGCTTTAGGGTTTTTTTTAATTGTGTTTAGCACTCAAAAAACAGAATGACACCATTTATAAAAGTCCCACTGCTAGGACCACAACATATCTTAATTTTTTTAGATGACGGATACTAAAGCAGTTAAAATGAAATCTTAATGAAAATAATTTAAAATTGCACTTTTTGGTTATTTTTCTAATTATAGCCTTGTCACAGTTTTGTCTGGCAGAATATTTTTACTTTTTTTTAGCCTTTAAACTTGATTAATGCTAGCAATTAGCTAGATGAAGCTGATAAATTTAATGTTTACAAAGTCATGGATTCAAATAAATCAATGTATGTAAGTAATCTCATGGGGACTTGCATCCTGAAATGTGTTTGAGGGACAACCAAACTGCACAGGCCAGTGTGGCACAGCCAGATATCAGATTTTAGGAAGGAATTCGTTCCGGAAAGCACAGTATTTTATTATCTCAACATGGAACTGACAGCAGAAAGACACTCTGGCAACCTCCCATACTCCCACCAGTTATGCCAGGGCTAACAGAGGGTAGGAGACTGAGCTGAAGCAGTGTAGGCCAAAGGAATGCCATACTCACTTGGAAGTTAGCGAGACCACATAGGAATCTGTCCCATAAATGGTGGAAGACTTGTTGTTCTTTGTATTTGCTAAACGAACCTGAGAAAGAGAATCTGATCAATGTTGCTTCTGTCTGCAGAATGAGGATTTCCCCCAGTATAACATCCGCAGCGGTTTTCCAGTCCATGATCAGCTCCAGAAATCACAGGAAGCTCATTGCTTTCCAGTAGGTCGGAGAAGTGGAAAAGTTGGAGTGACACTTCCACATTTCTAGAAAGGCTCAGGAAAAGGACCAAATGACCCAGTAGAACCTCCAGGGACTAACTGGGAACCAGAACCACAAAATTTAAGTCAGTGGTGTAATCCTTTTATTGCTATTCCATCCCCAGCGACACATAGTAATGGCTTCTACCCTGCAGCCCAAGTGCTTGCAGGCCCTGGTAGCCCCTGCATGGAAAAGAAAATCAGGCAAATAACAAGTTTCTCTACCTTTCCTTCAGCAAGACCAAAGACAATTATATTCTCCGCTGGCCACGACAAGCAGGTCACGGCACTCTGCAAAGGAGGAGGTAAAAAGAGAGATAAGAGCTTCACCCTTCTTACTTTCTTGCCCGATCACTACATAAGACAGCTCATGAACAGCAAGACCACTCAGACCAAGAAAGAGAAGAGACAGACAGACCTTAAAATAGGATTGAGGCCCTCCACACTGAAGCTTCACTAGATAATAGTGAGCTGGGGTAAAGTAACAGGCTCAGAAGGGCTAAAGCAGGGCATCAAAGTTATACCAAATGTGTTCAGTATGGATGCTCTTCTGAGAGGATTACTTATTGATCAGATGTGTAATTTTCCAAATGCTACTGTTGAATGTACAAAATCATGGCTATTTTAAAAGACTTTTTGCAACCACAAATAGAGAACATGAAAATAATTTTACTCTGCCAGCTTCTGTAATAGATATATTTGTACACTAGATCTTCATCTGATAAATCAGAAATAGTCTTTATTTTTTCATTTACAAGCAAGATGGTTATCAGTTGCCACCAAGCAGGTCAGGTAGAAAGAGATTCATTAAACCCAAATCAACGGTATTTCAAAATCTGAGGTGGGGGTCAGGATGAATAAAGCTGACCACAAAACACAACTGTAAAAGAGGGCCAAGAGAGTTAATGAAACTGCTTCACATTTAAATGGAAGAATTTCAGTCGGTAAGAAGGCCGGTGTTCGGCACTGTGCCACCAGCACTAGCCTCACTGGCTCATCTGTTCCATTTTAAGCATCTGGGCTGCTTTAGACATATGCACACCCTCATTTATTCACTTCACCTTCTATCCCCCACTCTTACCATTCACATCAGCAAACACAGCTACAATCAGATACTAAAATCTCCATGGATACCTAAGCGTCTCATAATTTGTGTGTCCAACCAATGACCAAGGCCCGTTTTTTATAACACCTGTTTCCCAGACATCCGTATATTTCCTTCATCATCTCGCAGACCCTTACTTTCACTCTAACAAAACCACAAGCAGACCAGTGGTACCTTTTAAGGTAAAAAGCCTCACAAAGTGGTAATGTGCTCAGCTACTAGTGCAAAGAAGTCAAACTTGCACATAATTACCCTGACACTCTAGCAGGATGCCTTGCTTGCCAGCAGAGCTGAACAGTGTCATTGTACTCACAAGATGTATGAGTGCCCAACAGGTTTTGCAAATGGCAGGAGAGGAAAAGGGCTCAATAAATGATCTCTCATATTGACTGAACACACCAAAAATTCGTAAATAACAATATTTAATTACAGGAGAAAACCAGACACAGTGGTAAAAAACCACACATACAGCTTAGAAAAAATAAAGGATTTATTATGATAGAAATGGTAGAAGAGCATGGGGAAAATGAGAGAACGAGAGAAAAGAGAACCACTACATTCAAAACACAAAAAACTGTATGCGTGCTGTGCACAACATCTAAGCTTGTGAGAGGCAGGCAGCCTCCCATCAGGCTCTTAGCCAGGTGCTGCAGCAAAGGACAGCCAGAGGGGCAGGAAGCTCCTCCTGCCAGCAGGCAGGCAGCAAGCAATAAACAATGAAAGGACTCTTCTGTGAGGCTACAGGTACCCACATGGGATAACCATGAACATGAAGTTCAACAAGGCTAGCACATGGGCTGGGGCAATCCAAAGCACAAATACAGGCTGGGCAGAAAATGGATTGTGAGCAGCCCTGCCCAGAAGGACTTGGGGGTGTTGGCGGACAAGAAGCTCAACATGACCCGGCAGTGTGCGCTCACAGCCCAGAAGGCCAGCCATCTCCTGGGCTGCATCCCCAGCAGCGTGGGCAGCAGGGTCAGGGAGGGGATTCTGCTCCTCTGCCCTGCTCTGCTGAGACCCCCCCAGAGTCCTGCGTCCAGCTCTGGAGCCCTCAGCACAGGACAGACCTGGAGCTGTGGGAGCTGGGCCAGAGGAGGCCCCAGCAATGATCCGAGGGCCGGAACCCCTCTGCTGGGAGGAAAGACTGGGAGAGCTGGGGGTGATCAGCCCGGGGAACAGAAGGCTGTGGAGAGACCTTACTGCGGCCTTCCAGCACTTAAAGGGGGTTATAAGAAAGATGGGGACAAACTTTTTAGCAAGGCCTATAGCGATAGGACAAGAAGTAATGGTTTTAGACTAAAAGAAGGGAGATTTAGACTGGATATAAGGAAGAAATTCTTTACAATGAGGGTGGTGAGGCCCTGGCCCAGGTTGCCCAGAGAAGTTGTAGATGCCCCCTCCCTGGAAGGGTTCAAGGTCAGGCTGGATGGGGCTCTGAGCAACCTGGTCTGGTTAAAGATGTCCCTGCTCATGGTCGGGGTTGGACTAGATGGCCTTTAAAGGTCCCTTCCAACCCAAACCATTCTATGAAAGGGACAAGTGGACATCAAGCCCCTCTTGCTCTCTTCTCATTACACTCTATTCCAGTGTCATGACCACTCAGCACAGCAGCTCAACCACAGAGAAACAAAGGCTGACTGAAAGCTTTCTTCACTTACTGCCAGAGCAAGAGAATTACACGGGTTCCCCTCCTACAGCCAGGAGTGAGTGTTCAGAGAGGCTAGAGGGCCCCTCCTAAGCTGCCCTAAGTGCAGCCACAGTGGTGGGCCACGACCCAAACCTAAGATGCAGGCCTTCAACCCAGAGGCTGAGGCACACGCGAGAGGCAGCTTGAGAAAGCCTGGCTCAGAAACTCCTGCAACTCCATCAGGAGCAATTCCACCTATGTCTTCTGGGGATTTGGCCCAGGAGGACACTTCCTCCTAACCGGTACTGGCTACTTCAGGGGCCTACCTAGAAGAGAATGTCTCTAGTGACACAGAGAAAGTGGGAGTTGTAGTGTGATGGCAACTGGCTGGAAAGCCCAGGGCAGCTGCCAGACATTTGCTCCTGAAGGTAAAAGAAGTAGTCAGTGTACTGCATTTTCTCATACAGATGGCTTTCTGTGCAAGGAATTTAACACCTTTGCCTTTTCCAGATACTTATATCAACCTCAGGACAAGCCTTGCTAGAGACCTACTGAGTAGACTGCTCTCTGACATACGCAGGCAGAGTTAGAGCAGCAGAAGGCAGCCAGGGAGATAACCCGACTGAAATTACAAACCTGAGGTCTTTGAGCATGCGGAAACTGTGCAGTTTGACTGAATTCTGCAGACTTTACATTTTGGTTAACAAGGAATCTTGGGGCTTAGAGTTGCCAGCCTGTGAAAAATAGTTGGACTCAGAGTCTCTCCTATTTTTGCCTTTCAACTCCCTTAAAACATTCTGTCCACTGGTGCCTAAAGTAGTCTCCAACATTTTGTAATTGATGGCATTGATCATTCAACCATTAATTACTGCATTGTACCCAGACATTACAAGACCTCTGAAGCCTGGTGAGTAATACATGCCTCAAAATTTAGAGATTATCTTAGGAACTACCTCCATCTTTTGGAGACCAAGTACCTCTGACAGTTTGGACAAGCACACCTGTGAGTATGAGCAGAAAGACCTCTAATTGTCTTTATCTTACATATGCTGGAGAAAATGGACCTAAACAGGAGTCTGGGTCTCACCGTTTGGATGAACTTGTTGCATATCACCTTCTTGTCACCCCTGTAGAAAAAGGTAGACAAAAGTGATCATCAGCGAAGCTAATAACTAACACTGCCCATTCTGGTTACCCTACTGTTTGTATTCAGTCTGGTTTAGCACTGCCAAAGACAGGCCATTTAAGTTTTGTACACTGACTGTCTATCACAAGGCAACTTTAGGCAGAGAATTTAAAAAAACCAACAACTTCTGAGCTTCCAAAATTCTGGTGACCTGCCTTTCTGAGCACCTTTAGCACAACACATGCCAGCAAATGAGGCTGAAGCGAGGCAGGTGTGTGCCACAGTTCCACACCAATGAAACCGGGGACAGCAGCATAGGCTTCACAGCTTCAGCTCCACAGAAGCTCAAGTGGCGCACGCTCGTGTGGGGCTCCACAAGGGCTGTCTTCAAGGAAACCCTACCTGCTGCTCACCATAGAAACCTCCTGAGCGACTCCCTAGACGATGCGCACGGGCTGAGGAGCAGGCCCGGCTGCCGACGCAGGGCCCAGAAAGCACACCGCAGGGCAGGGGGGGGCGGGG